TGGCAGATACAGAGGAATTTAAAGAAATAACATATGAGCAAGAGCCTATGGTGATGAAGGAAGAAGTTCAAGCTGCTTTGAAGGAAATAGCAAAAAATAGGGCCCCAGGAATAGATGGTATACAGTTAAGATTTAGAAAAGTAAATAAAGAATTGTTTATATGCCTTATTAAAGGAGGAAAAGAAGAATGAAGAAGAGCTACTAGAGAGATGGCGGAGGGAGGCTGGTACAATTGGAGGGACATCTAACCAGTTAGGGGAAAAGCACTTTTCAAACACAGTTTTGAAAGTTATTGTAAATCTAATTAGACTTTTCTAAGTTGCCTAAGTTGGATTCTATTCATAGTTTGGTTATCTTGACCACATGGCTTATTCTGTTAGTATCTCATCCTTTTAAAAATACAGATGATGATTGCTGTTTACTACATCATCTGTAACACCTTCAATAATGGCTATAAGATAAAGCTTTCAACTTCATCAGAGTAGTGCTTTCTGTTAGGTACAAGACAGTATTGTTGTTGTTAAGTGTCATCGAGTTGTAGATGACTCCTAGCAACTCTATGCGCAAAAGACCTGCACACTTGTATAATTTTAATCGTCTCTCCAAGTTCATAGAGTTTCTGGAGGCAAGCTATTTTGGAAGTGTATGCCACTCCTGCTTTCAAGCTTGTTTTAATTGGGGAGCTCCACCAAACACTGTCCATCATGGGTAACCTTTATGGCATTTGACACATCAGTGTCACAGTGTTTAGCATCACAGCAACTAGGAGTTACCTCTGTACAGCAAATAGACAGACCAGTGCTATACAACCTAGAAGAATGTTTGACCAAAACCAATTAAAACCAGGCCTGAGGGCCACAGATTACAATCACCCACCTTTGGCCTGGTAGCAGAACTTTCGATCCACGAGGACAATAGAGCTCTCTATTAGTTTCAAGATTAATATATATTTAGGGAGATATTTATTTGGGTTTCTTTCTTATATATTTGACTCATCTGTCTTTGCAAGCTGATGCTGCCTTTCTTCTTCTGGATAGGGATGGTTAGGAATTTGTCCCTGTTCTGTAGATGGTGTGGTCTTCCACAGTGTCTGTTTCCTCCTTTAGTTTTTCTGTCTAAGTCAGTATCTCTACTCCATCCCTATAGTAAGTACTTTAGTTGCAGGAACAAGATGATGCTAAGGTGCTTGTATGAGCTCATCTCTCCAGGCTGCCACACCTTTAGCATGGGAGAGGCAACTCTTTTCTCTCCCTTGAGCCGCAAAGCTCACCTCTGAACTGGCTGCTGCTAGGGCATTATAGAGGCTTCACAGCTATATTAAGACCAACTCTTCATTCTACCAGCCTGCAAGATGTTTTCCTTTAGCTTCATGAAAAGCAACTAAGATATGTATTGATTCTTTGTGTTAGAGAATTAGCATTATGAATAAAGAATCAAGCTGGAGTGAGAAATTACACACACACACACACACACACACACACACACAGAGAGAGAGATAGAACTAATTTCCTCTCCTCTGAACATGTGTGCTTCCCCTTGCTGATACTAACCAGTTCATGGGATCTTTGAGCTACGATGCTTTGATCTGCCCACTTACAGCTTCAAGCTATACAAAGTGATCAAGATACCCAGAACAATACCCTGTTCACATTAAATTCTTTCCTTCTCATTATCTAATGAATGATGTGTAGTGTGTATAATGATAAAATGTGATGTAGTCTGTGCATTTCATGTCTTAGTTTTGATTTTATTGTTCTGTGTCTTATAGAGCAAAGAGCTTACAGCTTACCAGAGCCACCAGGAGAAAAAAGGTATTTTCCTTGTTTTCAATTTCCAGAGGGACTACTTGACCATTTGCACATTGCCTTGGAGGGAAAATGGGCACATCCTTTTTTGATACCTGTGTCACTAATTTGAGACGTTTACATGTAACTTACCCAGAACTCTTGGTGCTCTCTGACATCCCTGTCCAGTGGCTTGACAAGTATTCTCCTTTCAGCTCTTGGGTTTGGAGGCTTGGGAACTAGGGAGTGGGAATGGAACCATTCGATTGTGGGCCATTTGCAAAGTTAAGCACCTACACATTTGTAAGGCTAATGGGGAACAGTGTGAGATCCACTGACCATTGAAAGGAATAAGTTCTCCTTGTAGGCCTTTCTGCTATAACAAGACAACTTACTGTAGTAACAGGCTCCCCAGTTGTCAGTTACAGAAAATACATGAATATCCCTGCTGTGTCTCTTTGTAGATAGATCTTACTTAGCAGTACCAGGTTTTGAAACAGAAAATAGACAATGCAAAAAATACTTTAATTTTTTTTTTTTAGTTGATAGGCAGTCCTGTAACTTCAAGCCAAAGTTTCCCCTCCATCACTTAACAGACCCACCTCTTAACAGATAAAATTGTTTTTAGAGCAAGATTTGGAAAGTACACTAGACAGCAAGCATGGTTGTTGAGCTCTGTTGGTCTTTGATAACTGCTTATCCAATAGCTTCAGGGCTGCAGAAGCTGATGGAGAACATTTGAAATGGTGTATTTGGTTTTCAAAAGTAATACAGCTATATAAAAAAAACAGGAGAGTGACTTCAGATTTTAATGACAACAATGATAAAACGATAAAATATAAATATATAAAAATATACATTAAAATAAAAATTAAAAAATAAATATATACATATGGAAGGGAACTCTGCTGGTCTTCTGGTAAGAAGCTGTGCTGCAATCCCAAATGTGCATGGTTCAAATCTACCAGCTGCTCCATGGGAGAAGGATGGTCCATCTCCTCTCATGCAATTTACTGCCTCTGAAAACCTGCTGGAGGGTCAGCTCTGAGTTAGTTCTAAGACTTGAAGGGACTAAACAAGAACATATTTAGATAATTTTGTTTTAAATCTTGGGATAAAGTTATCAATAAGAAAAAAGATCTCCTCTTTTAAGGGAGTAAAGGAATTAGGAAAGATCCAGTGGAGATCTGAAAAGACTGGATAATGATGGGCTAAGATCAATAGTGATTAATTTTATAAAACCCAATGTATGCGAATGACCATATGAAACACATGTAAATGAAGTGATGTGTGAAACACAATGCATATGAATTTTGTATGCAAACAAATATAAAATGAAAAAAATCCCCTCCTTTTGTTAACTTTTGTCTTTATTGAGACAGGATAAGAACTTTCTTAAGCCCAGTATGTGGTGGTCACTGTCAAGCCTAAGATGTGGTAGTCAGCCTACCACAGTGGGCTCCAGCATGTCACGATGATGAGGATGGCACAGGATAGGGCAAGGTTCAAATCTGCTCTTCCTAGGGTCGCTGTGAGACTTAGTCGATTTGACATCACCTAACACCAAGAACAGGAACTTTCTAATAATGCAAATAGAGGAAGACTAAGAATGCCCTTTAAGGATAAGATAACAGTGGAGATCATGTCATGATTATGTGATGATGATGATTGCAAAAGCAGAAACAAATGACGTTAAATGAAGTTTTTTTTTATTTGCCTCATACTGCTTTAAGCATTTTACATTTATTTTCTCATTCAAGATACTTACTTCCTCATTCTGGAATTTTATAATCATCTAGATCATAATTTTGATTTGCCATCTTCTCCCCACTAGCTTTCTGAAAATTGGACAGTAGACTGATTGTAAAGACTTTGAAAACTATAGCTATTTATTGTATTTTTGTTATATATTGTTGTTGTGTACCACTTTGTTATATATTGTTGCTATGAAGCTGTCTCATAGCTGACCCTCCAGTGGGTTTTCAGAGACAGTAAATTACACAGGAGGAGATGGCCCATCTTCCTCGAAAGGCAGAGCAGCTGATGGATTCAAACCATGTTCCTTTGGCTTAGCAGTAAAATTGCTTACCACTCAGCCACCAGGGATCCCTATTATATTTTAGGAGAAGCATTTAAGACTTGAAGAGCTATTTTATTACCCTATAACATGCTTTGATATGTGTGGGACCTGTGGGAAGCACCCCTTTATCTCTTTATCCTCATTCTTTATTATTCTGCTTTTGTCCCTCCCCCTCCTATCTGTAATCTTTCTTGGCCTACATCTGATAAGCCAATCCTACTTTCTCAGTTAATATTCATTGCTGTTTGTGGTAAAGTATATTTTACATTTTGCCTACTCTGTACAATAGGGAGCTCTGGTGACCTTGTGTTAAGGAGCCACACTGCCAGGCCAAAGGCATGTGGTTTAAATCCACCAGCTTCTTTGCAAGAGAAAGATGGGTGCCCTTCTCCCTTGTAGTTTATAGCTCTCAAAACCCACTGGAGGGTTAAGTATGAATCTATTCCAACCTAGTGATACATAATAATAGTACAACTCTATACCTGAATCTCCTTATATATGACAGTAAGATCTTCTACTGTCCCTATTACTTCATTTTAGCATGCTTCAGATAATGACTAGGTTTTATACGGCCTGACTTATTTGGAATTTTGTTATTTACATGCGTTAGTTAATTTCTGTAAAAGGTTGTACGGAGGTGAAAAGGGAACCCTCTCCAGGTTTGTGGGCTGATTTCCACAGAGATTATATTGACTTAATTTCTCAAAGATTATATTTCATGACTCAATTATGCTATTATTATCTTCTATCCTAAATCTCTCCCATTCATTACCTTCTGTATTTTTAAAGACTTGAGCATCTAAGTATTAAAAGAAGTTTCCTTCTGTTATAATTTTCAGTTTGAATAGTGGAAACTTCTATGAAACTCTTTTAACCATGGATATTTTTAAAAAAGAAGATGATAAAAATGTAGTAAATCTAAGTATTAAGACATTGAGGAACAACATTCCTAATGCATTTTAAATATTTGTGTGCATTTTGAAAAGGTAACACCAAAAGGCTTTTTGAGTAATTTGGCTTAGAAAACTTTTTCATGTGTGCTTTCCATTGACCATAAAACTGATAATGGAGATTAGAATTCTTGTTGTAGGATACTTGAAAGAGATTAAATTATTTTTCTTGACTTTTATAAATTATAAAATTACTTAAATTCTAATATGAAATTAATTGAGCATTTTTTCTTGATAAGCATTGTTTGAAGTACCTAAGTATTGCATAGGTATATACAACATGGTTAAATTAGATTTGCAATATGGAATCCACTCACCTTCTGCCTTAATCCCATGATATTCCTATTCTACCAAGTTGTGTCATTTTAGTTTTAAAAAGTTAATTTCCAATGTTTTTATCTTTACTTCATCATTTCTCAAGTCTTACCAACTTTTGAGTTTAAATATCAAGTGTTATTATTTTATGTTGTTTTTTTCAAAAACCTCAAGGGTAAATGGTAAATTATTAGTGTGCAGAAATATATATAATAATTTGCAGTATATAGACTATTTTCTTGATAGAGTCTCCTATAGTGTTGGGAGTTGTGTAAACAAGAATAAATTTGCTTTCTTTTTTTTTTTTTAGTTTACTTGTGGTCATGATGGGAAAGAGAAGAGGGAATATCTTGATATAAAATCTGAGTTGACCTTAAGCCAAACAAACCACGATGACAAAGCTTCATTGCCATCCACTAGCTTCTGTCCCATAGGCTTCCCAAGTCTGTCATCATTATGGAAGTAGACTTCCACATGTTTCTTCTACAGAGAGGCTGGTGGATTTGTACCACCAACCTTTTGATTAGCAATCCTGAGCCTAATCATAGCATCACTAGAATTCCTTGTGTTGACCTTCTAAACAAATCAAACCCAGTGCTGTGGAGTCAATCTTGACCCACAGTGATCCAGTAGGACAGGGTATGACTGCCCCATAGGTTTTCCAAAGCTGTGATGTTTCTAGGAGCAGATTCACAAGATAAGTGGAGGATTGGAACCTCCAACCTTTGGGCTTATAGTCAAATATTTAACCACTGAGCTACCAGAGCTCCTGAGCTTCACCCTTAAAATTCTTCATTCTGAGTCTTAGGTCTCCTTTCAACACTCTGACTTTCTTTGATGTTCGACAGCACTTGCTAGGGTCACAGAGGGTATTCTGAGAGGATTCATTCTTGGCTCCTAAGTATGTTTTTTGTCTGTTTCAAAAATAAGCCTGCTGGATATTAGGATAAGAGTTTGGCTGATTGTGTTGCTCAATGAACAAGATTTTTAAATCTCTAAAATTGTGGATATTTTCAGATTTGTACTAATCAATTACCTAAGGTGAGAATAGCTATGGGTGGTGATAGAAGTAAAAACAACATAAACCCACGCTTTCACGAAAGTAGATATTAGTAAGGTGATTGTAAGGGAGGGGAGCCCACAGTACAAATGACTGAAACATAATGTAAATGAAAAACTGTGTAAAACATAATGTACATGCATGAAACACAAGGTATATGAATAATAAAAATATTAATATTTTAAAACATACATAAACCCAAAACTCACTGCTGTGTGAAGTCAGTTTCAACTGATGATAAGTCTTTATTGGGTTTCAGAGGCTGTAAATCTTAATAGAATCACCTCAACTTCTTCCTGTAGAGTAACTGGTGGTTTTGAACTGCCAAACTATTGCTTAACAGCCCAACACTTAACCTACTATGGTACGAGGTCTCCTTAAAGAGACATGTTCATAACAAGACACATATTGCTATTAAGTTGCATCTGCCTCTTAACAGACCCTCCAGTGGCTTTTGGGGAGCTCTAAATCATACTGGAGGAGACTGCCCATCTTTCTTTCGATGAGTCAGTAGTGGATTTGAACTGCCAGAGAAACACCATGTTTGGATTAGAAATACAATTCCCTATAGACTAGACCACCAGAGCTCTGTCCCCCCTCCCCCAGAAAAAGATACAAGAAGCTCTGAAGTCCTTAAGTCCTTTTGTTACTCTCAACAATCCTTGGGTACATTCATTTCAGCTCATAGCCATTCTCTTTTTACTTTCTACAATGTGTTTCTAAGTAGCAAACCCAAGTTTATTCTTTCAACAGGATGCCAGTAGCAGGACCCATATTGTGCTGGTGATGCCATTAAAATGTGTATGATGCATCTCTGAAGTTGTTCATTATTCTTTCAAAACATGTTCTTAGGGGTGAATTGTAAAGTAGTTAGTGTACAGGTAAATAAATGCTTTGTTATCAGCTAAGAGCCTGTTTGATTTAATCATGCCAAAGAGCTTTACAAATCATTTACACTAAGTCCATCGTTAATCAGGTGAGAAATATTGGAGTCCTGGAAGGCTGCCATTAAATTCAATTTCAAATATTACCCAGAGATGAATGACTGTTTTAATCACAATGCTGACCAATGAGAGGTTTATAAGGGAGAAGAAATCTTGGTTATGGAATATTTGTAATAGAAAAAAACCAGCCTACACATGTCTTACCTGATTTGACATGATATCTTATCTTTAATATGTATGATTTTTAACATAGGCTTTGTCTTTCTGTTCCAACCCCTTTTCTCACCTTTCTGCAATAATTTTGGAAATAGAGAATTATCAGAGAAATTTTAGGACAAATGTAACTTTTTTTTGGTTGCTGAAATTGTTTTGTTTCTAAGGATTAGGCAAGGAGAAAATGATCAGTGTATTCATTGGTTGGTTATGTCTCTTACTTTGGATAGTATTTCTAACCTTCCGTGCCTACAACTTCTGAGACTGTTGGTAGCCTGATTGTGGGGAAAGGCTGAACCAGTCTGTATTTATAAGGAAATAAGACTGACTCAGAAGAGGGCAGGCTCAGAGCTGCTGTACATAGGGTCACTATGGGTCACAGGAGACTTGATGGCACATAACAACAACATATATGCTCAGTACCAAAAACCGGTAAAAACATGTTTCATCTGAGGTTATTTGACTTCTCTGTGTCTTGGGAAATTTTTATGACTATGGTAAACACCAAGATGAGTACTTTTAAAGTGAAATTATAAGTTGTAGGTTTTCTTTCTTTCTCTATATTTTATCATAAAAATCCAAATATCTAGAAAAGCTTGAAGAATTCTATATACATATTTCTTACCATATAGATTCTACAACTGTTAATACTGTGACATTATCCCATGTCTAGTCACCTAACCACTTCTGAATAAGATTATTTTAGTAGTCTCTATGACAGCATTAAACAACAAACAACAACATCTTTATTATTAAAGCAAATATGAAATATATTTGTTTTTATTTGTACTTTTTAAAGAGGTTTGCTAGGTCATGATAACAGATTAGGTTTTTTTGTAGGATTCAGGAAGAGGAATGGGACAAATACATCATACCTACGAAATCAGAATCTGAAAAATACAAAGTCAGCCGGACTTTCAGCTTCCTCATGAATCGGATGACTAACCCCCGGAATAAATCTAAGGTAATAGAAATGCTGCATTTATTCTCTAGAAAACAGAGATGGTCCAGCTTTTGAGCAATTACTTTAGTTTGCACTTTGCCTTTAATATTGCCCAACTATTTACACGTACGCATCATCCAGGATATTTGTAATATTCCATTTTCATGTCACTGTAGTCTTCTTATTGCAGTCCTTGTGTTATGATAGTAAACCTATGGGCTTTCAGCTTCTTCACAATTAGTTCACAGTGTATCTTTTTTCTCATTTTCACCCCATTTTGCTGCTGCTGCTGCTGCTGTATCTTCAGATGAAAAACAAGGATGCCAAAGACAAAGAGAAACTGAATCGACACCAGTTTGTCCCTGGAACCTTCTCTGGGATTTTGCCATGTTTGGTTTGTGATAAAACACTTCTGGGGAAGGAGTCATTCCAGTGTTCCAGTAAGTTCTAGTGTGCACTGTTTTTTTGAGCTTTGTCTCTGTGGACAGCAAACTCCCCGAGGCTAGGCTCTCTCTCTAACTACATTTACACCGACTGTTATGATGCCGTGTGGTTAGTTTAACAACTTACTAACTCATCACTGATAAATAAGTTCATAGATTCAGTGCTCTGTTCACACAAGTGCTGTCTTCCCTACAACTCAGAGGTAGTTACCTCATTGCCTCCACTGAGGCCTCCACTGCATTCCTGAGTGATACCTCACTCACTGAGTGGGGTTCAGAACTCACCCCTAGCTGACTCTCTGGGGGGTTTTCAGAGGCAGTTAATCACATGGGAAGAGATTATCCATCCTTCACCACATCCTCTGCCACTGAACCCTGAGCCTCTAAATTAATGGTGATGCCATCATCTCAGCGCAGTGCTCATGTGGAAAAATCTTGATGTCTTCATGCTTCTCTTCCTCTCACATCTCACATTCAATTTTTTTTGTCTTTTTAAAAAATTCATTGCTGTACATTTTCTTCCCCTTTTCCTTCCTCTCCCCTAGCCCACCCCACTATGCATCCCTTGTTCCAGATGGTTGTCATACATATAATGCCTAGTTATATATTCTTTTCAGTCAGTTCTTCCCCTCACCTGTTCCAGTGCAGTGTTTGTTATCTATCCATTCTCTTCCCATTTTCTCCCCACCCCTCCCCACCCCTCATCTGTATTACAATAGTGATATTATGCAATATTTGTCCTTTTATTGAGAAATTTCACTCAGTATAATGACCTTAAGGTCCCCCACATGTTATGTAATGTTTTATGAGTTTGTTATTTTTTAATGCTGCATAATATTCCATTTTTTTTTATGTACTAAGGTTTTCTATCCATTTTTCATTTGTTGATGGACATTTGGGCTGCTTCTATCTCTTTACTATTGTCAATAATGCAGCAATAACATGGGTGTGCATACATCTGGTAGAATCAAGCCCTGGTTTCTTTAGGGTATATTCCCGGTAGTAGGATTGCTAGATCAAATGATATTTCTATTTCCACCTTTTTGGGAAAGCTCCAGACTGCCTTCCATAGTGGCTGTACTTTTTGCATTCATTCCCACCAGCAGTGAGTAAGAGATCCAATCTCTCTACAACCTCCCCACCATTTTTTGTTAGCTGTCCTGTTGAACTTTGCTATTGTTGCTGGGGTGAGATGATATCTCATAGCTGCTTTGATTTGCATCTCTCTGATAGCTAGGGATTTTGAACATTCCTTCATGTGTATGTTTGCCATCTGAATGTCTTCTTTGGTGAAGTGTTTATTCATATCCTGTGCCAATTTTGTGAATGGATTGGGTACTTTTTTCTTGTTTTGACTCTATTTTAAATTAGATATAAAATGCAAACACTTTTCCCCCTGTCTCTACTGTGAATGGATTGAAGTGTATTTTTAATTTCTTCTTTAAGGGTTGTTTTGTTTTGTTTCAAAGAAGTTTTAAGAGTTATAGGGTCTTTTCTTTTTCAGATGGGATAAAAGAAGGGGAGAGAAGCTGATGATTTAGAATTGGTTATTAATATTGTTTTTTGTACTGAGTAAGAGGATATGATGTATATTATCTCTATGATTTTTGGTAGTGGGAGAAGGATGGACAATCTCCTTCTGTGTGATTAGCTGCCTCTGAAAACCTCTCTGAGGGTCAGCTGTGGGTTAATTTCAATTCAATGGTATACAGTAACCACAGCAATCTTAGTCCATTGAGATACTTTCCTTTTTTAATTTTAAGAGTTAACATTTCCGATCTTACAACATGATCTGATAGGAAACATGAATCTTTAAATTCCTGATGTTTTTCTATTAAAGACTGACTTCCTAGATTTGATCTCCATTATCTGTCTTTATGTGACAGTATGTGCAATTTTTTCCCCTCTAAATTCTGGAGGGACATTTTTAAGTTTTATTTCATATCACTGCTTTGGTATTTTTGTCACACTGATTTGTCTCAATTCCAATGAAGTTCTAATCTCAATTCTGTTTTTCTTAAATTCCTTCCTCATCACATGAACCTGCCTTTTCCTTTTCTTGTTCACCTTTTCTCATACTCTGTTCTCTGATGGTGCTTTGGTCCCAATTTATTGACAGAGATCTTCTGTTCTTTTAGTGAGTGTATTTCAGTTATCTAGATTCTCCTCTTTTATATCTGGATTTAGTAATATTCAGTACCTGCTCTTTTTATTTTTTTCCCCCTGCAAAATTTCAGAATACCTCAGCTCTGTGCTTTCTCATAACTTCTTTTTTTTTTCTTTAACTTTCATTCACCCGTCCTGAAATGAGCAGAGATTTTGATTTTCATTATTTTCACTGAGACCGAAATGCTTCTTCAGATCGACAGCTGGAGGAAAGTTGTTGAGCTCATTTTCTGTCCAGGTTATGGTGGATTTTGTGTAACTTTGATGGACGCAATGGAATGATGAACCCTACGAAATTTCTCCTTTGTTCCCACCGCCACCTACACAGAGATTCTTTCTGGTGATGTTTTTGATAAACCACAATCTGTTCAGAGAGAGAGTGTGTGTGTTCTGCGTGGGATGAGAAGTAGCAGTAGGTGGTGTGGGGCCAGGAAGAGACAAAGGACAAGAAGATGACACTCTGGCAGAAGTGGTAGCCACAGAGGAACAGCTTCCTGCCCGGACAGCCTGGACCTCTGAGCCAGTGGGCAGAGTTGGGCAAGAAAAGGAGTCCTTTGCTTTCTCTTACTGAGAGGATGACTAGTTGAAAGTTCTTTTCTTTTTCAGTTTGGCTATTTCATATCTATAGTTTGTAGGGACTTCTGTGAGATACTGACAATAGGTTTTTGTGCAGCGTTGTTTTGATTTCTTTTTCCCTTTGTTTTTATTCCTTATATTCCTGGCCCCAACGTGAATCTTCACGTGGGTGTGGGATCAGGGAGTGGCTACCAATCAGATGCCAGAAATCCTTTCCAATGTATTCATAGAATTGTTCTCAGGAGAACACAGAAGTTTCGCTGAAATGTGTATTGTACATGATTCCATGTTTCATTCCATGTGCAGAAAGGGAGCAGTATCTCCATGGGAAGATAAGATGGTCACAGTGTATGTTTGAGTGGTGATTTAAATATCTTTATACCTGTGATTTAAATATTTTTTCCTTCTTATTATACCTTATAAATATTTTTAATGTTTATGTATCTCTTAACAAGTCAAAGCGTGATGTGGCCTTACTCATTTCAGATTAACTCATATAAGACTCAGACACTTTTCTGTTTGTTTCAGACTGTAATGCGTATATACATAAGGGCTGTAAGGAAGCTGCACCTCCATGTTCCAAGGTAATCTCGCAGACATATGTGCATATTACAATTGGAGCTGAACTAATCCCTGCTCTAAGTGGACTTACTTAACCACCTACCTTTGGAACCAGAGAAAAACCTCAAGTCTGATTCTGGTGTTTTAAGGTGTAGGTAGATAAGACTTTCTGTCAGGTTGTGCTCTCTCAACTGGTGCAGATCACCCACATATGCAAATGAAGCCTATGAAGAATTGGGGGCTCAATCATCTGCAAACATCAGAATCACCTGGAGAATTAAGCAAACAAAGGTTAAATCTCTAGGAGGATTAAAGCACTCTTTGTTGGCCTCCATCCCTAGAGATTCTGCTGTAGTGGTTCTGGGGTGGAGCCTGAGAATGTGCATTTCTGACACATTCCCAGAGGAAACCTGTGTTACTGCTTGCTGGGTCATCTTTCAAGGGCCACTGGACTGGAAGAATGCTTTCTGAGGGTGGGATTAGGTAGATGGAAGTATCTTTAATTCTTTCCTCCACTCTAGAAATCATGTTTAAAATGCCTGATGATACTACCAGGAAATGGAGATATATTGGGTCAGATCAGCAGAGATGAGAACTGTTCTCGAGTTTGACATTTCAGTGACTTAAAAAGCATTTGTGTCTTGTAGTGAAGAGGAAGGCTAGGAGCAAGGGAAGAAAAATAGGAGAAAGTCAATGTTGACAGAGCTCTTCTTGAAACCTGCTGCTAGCCAGTGGCCCAGCCATTTCTGGTTCACTCGAGGCTTTGAATGAAGTCATGAGTGTTTGTGAGCCAAACCTCCATTACAACTCATGATAACATTTCACTGCCATAAAAAACATTTCCCCCCCTCTGTTGCATTTAGTATCTTTTGCTCTGAATTCTTCTTTGTCAAAAATAAGTCTAAAATAACAAAAATTATAGATAAGAACCGTTTTCTGAGTAACTCTGCAGACATTTTTTGTTGTTTAATAGTGCTTTGATCTTACTTTGTTTCTGATCTTCTTTGCCAGAAATGCCAAGAGAAATATAACAAGAGCAAACCGCAGACCATCCTTGGAAGTAAGTGATGTGGAAAATGACAAGAATGTTTTCCAACTTAACACATACCACACATTTTTCCAATGGAAAGTACCTCCTCCTTCTGTTTTCTCATTTGCTCAGTCATTGCTTATTTCATAATATGTGCTGGGCATACCTTTTGGTTAGCTAAGCATGTCTGTCAACCTATGACTTTTTGCATTGTAAGGACCAAATGGATATTTTGTATTAGAGAAGGACTCAAGGAGAACATAGTGTGTATTGTCTCTATTCTAAGATGTTATCAAATATAAGATACAAAGAGCTCTGGTGGCTTAGTGGTAAGGAATTGCTCCTCCAACTCAAAGGTACGTGGTTTGAATCCACCACCTGCTCCATGGGAGAAGGACAGGCAATCATCTCCTGTGCAGTTTTTCCAACTTGATGGTACACGGCCATTATAACAGCATTTATTTATTCAATAAAAATCTTTTTTGAGAAAAATAAATACTATATTAAATAGGCATAATTTTATGTTGGGGAGCTCTGGTGGCCTATAAGAAACTGCAATGCAATTCCAAAAAGCATGCGGTTCGAATCCACCAGCTGCTCCATGGGAGAATGATGGACGGTCTCCTTCCATGTGATTTACTGTCTCTGAAAACCCACTGGAGGGTCAGCTATGGGTTGATTCTGGTATATAATAACAACTATTTTATGTTTTCCTGATAGAGGCCTATCTATACATATGCGTACCATGTGCTTTGAGACAAAAGTATCCTCTAGTTTAGAGTCCATAGACTCTTATTGGCCCCTGCATTAGAAAAACACCTAAGAAGGAGATACTATATATTGCCTCACTTCTAAGATGCTATGGAGTTCTGGAGGCTTAGTGGTAAGGAATTGGGCTGCCAACCCAAAAGTATTGCTTATTTCATAATATGTGCTGGGCATACCTTTTGGTTAGCTAAGCATGTCTGCCAATCTATTACTTTTTGCATTGTAAGGACCAAATGGATATTTTGTATTAAATCTCTAGGAGGATTAAAACACACTGAGAGAGAGCGAGAGCTCCCTGGTGAGAAAGATAGGCAATCAACACCCATGTGAGTCTGATGGTTCATTTCTCTTACTGATATGTTTTCTTCAAAGAAACTGTACTTGAGGCTGGCATAGTGTTAACACCTTTAGGATGACAATAAGATCCTCAAGTATACTATATTTAGTTTGCATATAATTAAACTTAGGAGGATCTGGTGGCCTAGTGTATAACATATCAGGAAGCTAATTGAAAAGGTTTGTAGTTCAAGCCCACCAACTTCTCCATGGGATCCTCTATATTTAAAATGACTCAACATCATGGAATTTTTTGGCTTAATTTTGTTTCGATTTTGTTGTTATTGATAATCGTTATGGGACTTCTTCCCCTGAATTTGAAGCTGCTGACATTTATGTAGGTCTCACAAAAATCCTCAATGCCTGTGCAGCCACTTCAGCATCTCCTAAACACTAATCTCTTGTGGAACATTTTCCAGTTTTCTCTGTCTCAAATGACATTGCTTGGCACGTGGTCAGCATGTTAAGCACATGATAACATTTCATTTCAGTGCTGTAACATCGAGAAGCAATATTTTAAACCCCACTTGAATTGTTGTTATTAGGTACCATCGTGTCACATACAACTTATCTGAATGACAGATTTGAACCCTTTCCTATCCTGTGCCATCCTCATCATTTCTGGCACTTGATCCCATTGCTGTAGTCTCTGTGTCAATCCATCTGGCTGAAGTTCTCCCGCTGATTTAACTAGGAGATTGTTATGTAGACAGGTATAACATGCCACTGGGTGTGAAGTTACCCAGGGTAAGCAGGCCCCTTTTAGTTCATTTAAAGTATGTGTCAGCTGTGACTTATTCCTCTCCCTTAACACAGAGTCCCTATGACATATGTGGTAAAAATACTTCTCAATTTTAAAAGATTAAACATAAAAATAGAAAGTATAGTAGAATCAAGGCAGCACCATGTCATTTTTGTCCTTATGAGGGAGTCAGAAGAAGAAAATGAAGTCCTGGGCCTATGTGAGCATTTCCCTTCATTCTCCTTGAGCCTTGTGTAGGCTACAGCCATATTATTGTTGTTGGTGTGTGTCCTTTAATTGGAACCAGTTTATAGCTGACCCTCCAGTGGGCTTTCAGAGGCAGTAAATTGCACCTGAGGCAATTGCCCATTCTTCTTCCTCAGAGCAGCTGGTGGATTCCAACCCTGTGCCTTTGCCATTGTAGTGCAGATTCTTACCACCAGAGTAAAAATCTAAGCACCACACTATTCTACTATTCTTTTTTTTTTTCTAGATAAAATTCTTAGTGCGTACTTATAAAGTTTTACTTACAAAGTTCGTATACATTGTTTTTCACACAAGGTCTTTCCCATTTCTTTTACTCATCCCTCCCTCCACCCATCAAATTGTGTGACCCTATGATTAAGCCTCCTACCCATCCTCACCCCTCTCTTCTCCTGTCCCCCTTGGAACCTCGTACACAGTCTACAATAATGGTCTTATACTGTATTTGTACTTATGGGACTGAATTAGCTCACTTAGCATAATGCTTTCCAGTCTTTCTCAAGTTAGTTAGTAATTTACAAAATCATTGCTGCTGCCTGCTGCACAGTGTTCCATCATGTAGCAGTTTGGCATTTTCCTCAAAAAGCTAAGTGTAGAAATTTCATATTACCCAGCTATTCCACTGCTTGGAATATATCCTGAGAAAATGAGAGCTAAGGCACAAACAGAGACTTATACACCAATGTTCATAGCAGCGTTATTCACCATCCGAAGATCATGAAACAGCCCAACTGTCCAACCACAAACAAATAGATTGAGAAACTATGGCACCACACTATTATATGAGAAGATTAAATTCTCTCTCAGAGTAGTCTACAGCACATACCATGTATAAATATGCCCATGCCTAAAGTATTTTAAGTGATCAAAAAGATATTGAAATGCCATTCAGTTTCAGCATGTACAAGAAGATAGTTAGGTTCTTCTCACAGATTCCATTTACCTCAAAGTCTTGTGCCTCCAAATACAGTCTTCCAGCTTCATTCCATTCCCTTGACACTCTGAGTGTGCTTGTGCATGTTTATGTGCACCATGTGCATTCTAATAATAATAATGCTAATAACACCTTGCCTCTATTTAAAGCTGGCTCTATGGAGTGCAAGCAGAAATTTATAGGAGAGCTGGACTGGTGTTTCCCCATTCCATTTTCCTGCTTGTTTATGTCATTTCTGACTCTAGTAGTCTCCGGATGGATGGGGTGAAGCAGACCTGCAGTTTGGGTACCAGGAGGGCGTGGAATGGCAGGAGCATTTGAAACAGGTGTCAGGCTATGGCAGGAAGGCTGGTTTCACGGTTGAGCATGCGACGCACTGGATGTGAGCCCTTTAAGTGTTGAGCTTTTTGGATTTTGAGTGGCTGCCTGTCGGTGTAATTAGTGTCCTTTTACGAAAGCATCCATTCTGATTTCCAGATTCCTCGTTTAGAGATGTCTCACAGCCTGGTCTCTCCTTGCACTCCTCTTCGTCCATCCCCATTGGATTGCCCACTGGAAGGAAAGAAACTGGAGGACAGACCCATGCATTGTCCCGGAGCGTTCCGGGCACCACACCGGACAGGTAAGGCTCAGTGTGTTATTTCACCTTACTGGCTGAGATCTGCTGCTGGGCCTCATTTCTCTCTCTCCTCCCTTTTAGGAGGTCAGGGGCATCCTTGGAGTCGGAGAATGACAGCAGCAACTGGAGAAGCAGATCTCATTCTGATGAGCTGATTCAGTCCGTGGGCTCTTCTCCTTCCACAGAGTCCTTTATAATGGAAGGTGAGGAGAAGGCACTTTTGCATTTCCTTGCATTTCTGTAAGCATTTACCATAAGACATATCCCTCAGGGCATAGGGCATCATCTTCTTTGATTCTTTAAAAAACAATTTTATTTTATAATGTCTCTTAGTTTCTACTTATAAAAACACTCTAAAATTTAACCCTGGAGGAAACTAGTGGCCAAGGAAATATCATGCATATTTTATTTTCTTTTTAATTTTTTTAATATTAATTGAGATTTTAATAAAAGTTTATAGAGGACTTGGATTTCCATTCATTCATTGTGGCACATTTTCCTCCCTACCCACCTCTCCAATTCTCTTTTCTCTTTGAAAAAAAATTCTTTCATTGTTGTACAATTTCTTCTCCCCGTACTTTCCTCCCCCTGTCCACATTGCTATACAGCTCTTATTCTGGACTGCTGTCAAACAATTAATACCTAATTATACATTCCTTCATTCCTTTTAAATAATTCTCTCCCTCATCTGTTTTAATGCAGAGTACATTATTTATCCCCTCTTTTCTTAGTTCCCCCAACCCTTATGTCAGTGGCATTATTCGTCCTTTTGTGGCTGAGATATTTCACTCAGCATAATGTCCTCCAGGGTCACCAATTTTGTATAATATCTTATGAGTTTCTTGGTTTTCAGTGCTTCATGGTATTCTATTGTGTGAATATACAACAGCTGCTCTACCCATTTTCATTTGTTGATGGGCATTTGGATTATTTCTATCTCTTTGCTACTGTGAACAACACAGCTATAAACATAGGTGTGCACATATCTGTTTGGGTGGCAGTTCTAATTTCTTTGGATATATTCTCAGTAGTGGAATTGCTGTGTCAAATGTTATTTCTATTTCCAACTTTTTTAGAAAGCACCATACTGCCTTCCAAAGTAGTTGCACCATTTTACACTCCCATTAACAGTGAATAAGGGTTCCAGTTTCTCCACAAACTCTCCTGCATTTGTTGTTTGCTGCTCTGTTATATTTTTCTATAGTTACTGGAGTGAGATGATATCTCATAGTTGTTTTGATTTCATGCATAATTTAAATTAATGTCTTTCATAAAGATGTACCATAAACAGTGAAGAGAATGAACCACATTATATGCTTAGTGTGTATGTGTGTGTTTAAATGTTTCACACATTCAAAAAATCCAACCACCAAGAAACAAGGTTTCACAGCTATTGGTTAAATTTAGATAGAAGCCTCCCTTAAAAGTCTGTCATTCGTTAATTAATTATCCCCATCTCTTGTGTTCTTTTTCTGAGAGAATAAAATAAATTTTAAAGTGTATTTTTTAATTAATTAATTTAATTTTTTAATATTAATCTCAATGAACAATTACAGAGATTTTGAATTTCCATTCATTCATTGTTGAACTTTTCTCCCCGCTCCCCCCACCCCCCGACAAGTGCATTCTTCTCTTTGAAAAGTAAAAGAAAATTCCTTCATTGGTACACAATCCCCCACCGCAGCCCCCTCCCAAGTGTACTCCACTCTGCAACCTTCATTCTGGACTCTTATGATAATCATAATGCCCTATAATAGATTGCTTTTAAACTGTTCTCTCCATCATCTGTTTCAATGTAGTATACATAATTCATTCAGTTTTTCTCATTCTTACCCCAACCCCGATGTCAGTCCCATTCTACAGCACTGGCACTGTGCAGGGTTTGTCCTTTTGTGACTGAGATATTTCACTCAGCATAATGTCCTTGAGAGTCACCCATTGATAATAATACTGCATGAGTTCCTTGTTTGTAAATGCAGCGTAGTGTTCCATTGTGCAAATATACCACAGTTTCTCTATCCATTCATTTGTTGATGGGCACTTAGGTTTACAACTCTTTGCTATTGTGAACAAAGCTGCAATAAACATGGATGTGCATATATCTACTTGGATGTCAGTTATGGTCTCTTTGAGGTATATTCCCGGTAGTGGAATTGCTGGGTCGAATGGTATCTCGATTTACAACTTTTTTAAAAAAAATGTTTATTTTAATAATTTTAATGAACATTTACAGAGAATTTGGATTTCCATTCATTCATTGCTGCACTTCTCTACCCGCCCAGCCCTCTCCCCCTGCCTCCCAGTCCACTCTTCTCTTTCAAAAGTAAAAGAAAGACTCCCTCCCTGGTATACAATCCCCCCGCACCCCTCCCACAGCCCCAAGTACATTCCACTATGCAACCTTAATTGTGGACTCTTGTGATAACCATAATACCCTATCATACATATCTTTTAAATTATTCAGTCCCTCATCTGTTTCAGTGCAGTATACATAATTCATTCAGTTTTTCTCATTCTTACCCCAACCCCGATGTCAGTCCCATTCTACAGCACTGGCACTGTGCAGGGTTTGTCCTTTTGTGACTGAGATATTTCACTCAGCATAATGTCCTTGAGAGTCACCCATTGATAATAATACTGCATGAGTTCCTTGTTTGTAAATGCAGCGTAGTGTTCCATTGTGCAAATATACCACAGTTTCTCTATCCATTCATTTGTTGATGGGCACTTAGGTTTACAACTCTTTGCTATTGTGAACAAAGCTGCAATAAACATGGATGTGCATATATCTACTTGGATGTCAGTTATGGTCTCTTTGAGGTATATTCCCAGTAGTGGAATTGCTGGGTCAAATGGTATCTCTATTTGCAACTTTTTTGAGAAAGCGCCATACCGCCTTCCACAGTGGTTGCACCATTTTACATTCTCACCAACAGTGAATAAGGTTTCCAGTTTCTCCACAACCTCGCCAGCATTTGTTGCTTGCTGTTGTGTTAAATTTTGCTATTCTGACTGGGGTGAGATGATTTCTCATAGTTATTTTGATTTGTGGCTCTCTTAGAGCTAGGGATTTTGAACATTTCTTCATGTGCTTGTTGGCCATCTGAATGTCTTCTTTGGTGAAGTGTCTATTCATATCCTGTGCCCATTTTTCAATTGGATTATTTACCTTTATCTTGTTGTGGTGCTCAAGTATTTTATAAATTCTAGATATAAGTCCCTTATCTGACATGTCATTACCAAACACTTTTTCCCAGTCTGTGGCTTCCCTTTTTACCCTGTTGGAGAAGTTTTTAGATGTTCATAGGGATTTGATTCTTAGAAGGTTCCATTCATCTATTTTATCTTCTCCTGGTTGTAGATTATTTGCAACTTTTTGAGAAAACGTCACACTGCTTTCCATAGTGGTTGCACCATTTTACACTCCCACCAACAGTGAATAAGGGTTCCAGTCTCTCCACAACCATGCCAGCATTTTTATTTGACTAGGACTTAACCTGGGGTATCAGTTATTGCTTGAAAACTATATAAAAAATTAATGAAACCAATTAAATAAAGGTCAATAGTCAAAGGGAGAGAAATGGACTCTGCCCTGGGAATCGATTTTTTTTTGTATATATTTTAAACTTAAGTCCTTTAAATCTATGGTCATCTCGACATTACTGCATTGGAGTTGGAATCTCTTTAATGTGAGCCCTTTGGGCAAATAGGATTTTATTTTCTTGAAAGTTGTGCATGTGTGTGTCCATATGTGAACTCATTTTGTCAGAAAAACTTATACTCATATATGACCTCAGATTCTTCAGTCAGTTTCATGTTCATGTTAAAAGCAGCAAGCCAAGTGAAAAACAGATCAGGGGACCTAGACAAGATATGGAATTTAATAAATAGTGCAGAATAGCCTAGGGCAAAGGAAATCAGTGTGTTTTAAAGTCTGTTAGAACATTGTCAGTTCTAAAACAAAACTAAAATAGGATGAACTGAAGCAGGCAAACGAAAGACTCATGAAAAGCTATACCTTTTTGAAGTTTCATATTCGTCTGGATACAAAGTTAGTATATATTCTGTTTTACACCATCCTTCATTCACATTGTGTTTCATACAATCATTCTATTAATTTTGTTTTAGAAAATCAAACACTGTTAAACCATGCCCATCATTACCCTGTCTTTCCAGATCCTCATGGGATCTTTCATATTTCCTTTACCCCCTTCCCTCTACCCACCATGCTATACCATCCTATGGCTTCCCCCCTGCCCACCCTCACACCTCTATTCCCACTCCTTTCCTCCTTGGATCCCCATACAAGTTTTACTAATGATTCTTCTGTTTTTAAAATAGTGGTCTTATATAGTATTTGTCCTTATGAGACTGAGTTAGTTCATTCAGCAAAATGTCCCTCAGTCTCTCCCAAGTTATATGGTAATTTTCCAAATCATTGCTCCTGAGTGCTGTACAGTATTCCATAATGTGAATGGACCACAATTTCTCAATCCATTCAATTGTAGTTGAACATTTGGGCTGTTTCCATGTTCTTGTGATGGCAAATAATGAAAAGCCATCTCTTGATTTGAATCAGGTCAACATTCTTGCTTTGAGATATGTCAACTACCCATCAGTAGTATTTTGGCTTAGTGGTTTCTGTGTCCACAGCAGGTTATTTTACTGAAATGAATCCATAAGCACTGTACTTGAGAAGCTCTGTTTGTGTCATGTGTGTTGCAACTCTGGCCTTTTCTTTATTTTTCCTGAATGTGTATTAGATGTTGTGGACTCTTCTATGTGGAGCGACCTCAGCAGTGATGCCAAAGAATTTGAAGCGGAGTCTTGGAGTCTTGTGGTCGATCCTTCATTTTGTAGTAGACAAGAGAAAGATGTCATCAAAAGACAGGATGTCATCTTTGGTAAGCAATCACATATAGTTTTCATATTGAAACTGTGGTATAGAGGAAAAAATATGGAATTTGAAACCTTGTAAGCATGGGTTCAAACCTGAATTTTACCATTTTCTATTTACTTGATATCAGAGAAATTACTTAACTCATTGGACCTTTGTGTTTCTATCTGTAAGATGGGGATAATATCACTTAGGTTTAAAATGTTATGAGTGTTAACTGAGGATGTTCCAGGTATAAAAAAAGATAATTATTCCTCCTCTAACCCCTTTTCAAGAAACTCTGGTAGTTTAGTGGTAAGAAGCTGCACTTCAAAGCACAAGGTATGAGAGGATGGGCAGTCTCCTCCCATGTGATTAACAGCTTCTGAAAACCCGCCAGAGCGTCAGCTATGGGTCTGTCTAACTCAACAGCACATAACAATAATAACATCCACTTTTCACATTTATTTACACTTGATATTTCATTCCTTTCCCCTTTTATATAAAAAATTCACTTTAAACTTCCAGGTGATTTACTGTCGGCTGAAGGGGCCTGCTGCCGATATGGTCATGAAGCTTGTGTTCATGTTGACTCCAATGGGCCAGCAGATTGTGTATTGCATTCCGGAGTGTAGACTTCAACCCTAGTGAGATTTTCCTATTTTAAGCTGTTTGGAATAGAAGATAGGAGGCAAAGCATATGGGACGGTCTGAGTTATAGTCTAGTTAGGAAATGATGTAACTTGTGAAAACCATTTTTAAGTTTATTTAATGAAGCAAACTCTCGCCCAAAATAAAACTTACTTCCATTCAGTTGGTATCACCTCATAGGACCCCAACAGCCCCTAGCAGAGTTGCCCCACAGAATTACTACAGCCATCAATCTTTCCAGGAATCAATGGCCTTATTGTTTTCAGAGTTCCTGGTGGATTCAAACTACCAGCCTTATGATGAGCTGCTGAAATCTCTAATCATTCTGCTACCAGGGCTCTTTTAGTAAAGCAGTTGCTAAAAAGTGGTACCAAAAAGGTACCTACTTTACCTACTATAAAGGTAAGCGTAGCTCTTCGTTTTCACTGAGTATGATGTATAAACCAACAAAAGCAACATAAAGAGACCTTTTTACCTGCAGCACATGGTGGTTATGGCAGGTCAAGTAAGACAGTGGGTGAGCAGGATGTGAAATCTGTGCAGGGTTGGAGAGGTACAAACCACTTTGGGGGGAAAAAAAAAAAAGATGCTGTCCTTCTAGTCATTCTCATGCAATTTATTTTACACTGCCACCTTTTTCTCCATTTATCTTTGATTTAAAAAAAAAAACTGGTTAGAAATAACCCATTTGGGATTAATTGGAATGTAGTGGAGTCCGTAGTGTGGCCTTTGATGTCAGAAAGGCAGGTGTTTGAGGGAAAATTTTCTACCTTCTGTTTCTTATTGTCTTCTTTTTAAATGGAGGAAAAGAATTCCTAATATAATGACTCAAAACAGGTAAATATTTGAAAAGATGAAATAAAATAAGTGATTAAGTAATTTGCTTAGCACAGAGCAGACTCCTAAAAACATAGAATATCAATAATTCAAAATTAGTGATTTAAATGAAAGATTTTATTTATGATAAAATTCTGAAGAAAACTACAGACCACCAACTACTCATACACAAGTTCAAGTTGAAGTTGAGGAAAATGAAATCAAATCCACAAGAATAAAAATATGACTTTGAGTGTATCTCACCTTAATTTCAAAACCATCTCAGGAACAGGGTTGAGGACTTGGACATTAATGAACAAAGACCAGATGAGCTGTTGGAGGATATCAAGAATATCATCCAGGGAGAATGCAAAAGGTCATTACAAAGTCAGAAGAGGAAGAAAAGACCAAGATGGACGTCAGAAGAAACTCTGAATATTACACTAGTGTGCTGAGAAGCCAAAGCAAAGGAAGAAATCAAGATACTAAAGAGTTGAACAGAAGATTCCAGAGGGCAGCACGGGAAGACAAAGTAAAGTATCACAGTGAAATGTGCAAGTAACCAGAGTCAGAAAATCAAAAGGGCCAAACTCTCTTAGCATTTCCTAAGTTGAAGGAACTGAAAAACAAATTCAAACCTCTAGTTGCAATACTTAAGGATGCTTTGGGCAGAATATTAAATGATCCAGGAAGCATTAAAAGAAGATGGAAAGAGCATACAGAGTCATTGTACCAAAAGGAATTGGTGGACACAGAAGAAATTAATGAAACAATGTATGAACAAGAGCCTGTGGTGATGTGTTGCAGACCGAGGGTCCCAAAGAATGGAGTAATTTTATAATTATTAATAATGAGACAAACAGCCAGGAATGAGATAGAGCAGAGAGCATAAAACGGGGCCGGCCAACAGTTCTGACTAAAGACCCCAAGCCAAGCTTCTCTGTATCTTTAATGAAAATTATCAGGAAGTAAATCACAAAGAGAATTCAATGCAAATGAAGCCAAGCTCTTTCTATTGAAAACCTTCTGCTTGACTCAGGAGGGAGAGGTTCACAAATGCAAGAATTTGATTTGCCCTAAGTATTACCTTGATGCCTCAGGGTGAACTCTAGCTCAGGAAGTAACACTCCCTCTGTAGGGGGGGCCTTTTTTGTCTCCTGTCTGCAGGGAACAAACAACTCATTTTCTGAGATCTGCCACAAGAGAAATCCTAACTTAAAAATCTGTAATTCCTTCAATTCCTGAACAAGGTTTTTCATATAATGTTTGGTATAAAGTTTGGCTTCCCATATTCCCCCCTTTTGTTTTTATCATGTTATCATCTAGACTAGCATCTTCTCTTCTTTGATTCACTCTTGCTTGTTTTGGTTTTCTCCATCCTTTATATACCAACAAACAAATAAAACAGATTAAACATAGTAGACTTAAAGAAATACTTTAAAAAATCCCCATATGATTAGAAGGATTCAGATTGGATATTCCTTGGAAATCTGTTTTAATTGTCCCATTGCCACAGTGCTTGTCAAAGCCAGTTCTGATTAATCTCCTTTATTGGTGTGTTCTTTGCCATTCCCTGTTACTCTTCCCTGAGAGAGATTTCACCCTGATACATAAGGAAAAGGGGGCGGCAGATTCTCTTAGCTACTTCTTCCTGAAAAGGGATGGTGTAGGTTTCAGGGTGAAGATCTTCTCTCACTACTCTAAGGGGCCCCTTTGGCAATAGGAAACACATAGACTATTGTGGATATTGATTTTGGAATTTAGATACACTGTTATCAATTGTTCTTATCCAAATTCATGTCCTTTGATATGCATCATGGAACTGTTGCAGCCTAGAAGACACAAACTTAACTAACAAGTCAAAAGTACATGAGCCAAAAATTAAAAGCAATAATATTCCAAATAGAGGTTCTAACAATGACACAAATCAAGTTACAGAGGGAAGATAATCCTTAAAATAAAAGTCTTATTGGCTGGCACTTTACCTATTATAGTGAAAGGGCTAGGAACCACAAGATGTAGAGGCACAACTATGTCATTTATTGTTCTTAAGTCCTGGACCAGCTTCCATTTACCATTGGATTGTTTTATAGCTAGGAAGGCCACATGCAAGGCAGAGGTGAAGTAAAGAACTGGTTATGAGGTTTTCCATCAATTCCAACAACTAAGGAAGGAACAGTGAGAAGAGATGGATCTGAGAAGGCTTTAAGACTGAATAATTAGGCTCTTATGTCCAGGAGAAAACTGATATACTTACAATGTTAATGCTCACCCATGGCTCTTCTGGGAGGATCTGAATCCTTGAAGTATCGAGGATCTGAGTCCTTGAAGTATCCTCCTTTGTTTCCAGCTGGGATCTGGGGCCTGTCAGTCCTGTCAGCCACGAGGACCTGATGTGGGCTGCCCTTGGCCAAGTGTCCTTCAGATTCACACTTAAAGCTAGTGAGTGGGAGCTTCCTCTCTACCCCCTTGCCTTTCTGTGGCTTTTGTCTGTGATACTTTATACTGAAGTGACCCAGGTTTCCACAGTGGAAGCAATTCTGACCTCCTTTATTACCTTTGGGTGGCACTGTTTATGAGTAAGACTTCCTTTTCCTGACACAGGCCCTAAACTGGCAGCAATAGCTGCCCCAATAATTTTGGCCATTCTCTGGTATTTTATCTTCCCTCTAGATCCCAGTTGTTAAAAGAGGGGAAAATTTAAACAAATAATTTTAAGTAATATATTTTTTTAAGTTTAAGGCTAGTAATATTATCAATATAATTGTGCAATAATTTCCAGTCCAAAGAGATACATATTCCAATGCAGTTCCTATTTTTCATGAATTATTTTGGTAAGAATACTGTAAATGTGGATACAGTTCCACTATTCCTCCTCCATGCCATGAGATAGTGTTATTAGCATGAGCAGTTATAAATCCATTGCCTTCCTTACTCTAACTTAAATTTTTGATGTTTCTTTGCTGACAAGCGGAACCAACAAGGCTCCAGTGAATGATGCTTCTATAGGAAGTATTAATTAAAACTCGTCTTTGCTCTATTCAGCATTGTTCCTAATGTATCCATACTCTAAGAATGATAAAGGAAGCAACTGACAGGGAGGAATATCAGGATAATCTGAAGTTGCTACTGATATCTCCATGAAAACTATATCCTTGAAACATCTACTAGAGAGATATATTATTACCCAAAACTTTATAAAGCCAATGAACAACTTTTAACAAGAGAGTATTAGAAACATATGCCCCCAATAGCTGGTATTATCTGCCATTCTGCAGCTTCGTCCTTGTCAAAGTGTGGCCTCTTTTGACTCATCTTGGGGTTTCACATTTCTGGAGGGCACCCACAGCAGTTCTGATCCTGTAGAGATATAAGCAAATCCTCGCCCCCACCTAATAACAAATCCCTTTTTCCATTCATTAGTTAGAGGTTCCTTATAATATATGGGCTGATTCAATTCTTTAGAGGATTGTAATACCCAATGTCTTTCAGCTGGAGTTTCTCCTTTTCCATTAACATTTAAAAAATTTAAAGTAAATACGGCTTTTTGTAAAAGAGTTC